AAGAAAAGATAAAGACAACATCATTCAAATAATACCCCTGGAACACAGATGTCAGCACAAGATGGAACTCATGCTAATTATCATTGCACACAGGATTTATAAAAGACCATCATATTATTGCTAAATCCAAAAAACTAAAAATAAATTTCTCTTGTCAGCATAATTTCATGTGGGATAATAAATCTGGTGTTGAGTCCATGTTAGCAGATTTTCCACAAGAAAATCTTATAAAAAATTAAATTTGCAGCAAGCCACCTCTAAATTCATTAAGGAGATGTAATTCAATAATTAAGGTGGTCGTTCCAGAAAATGAACTAATTTTTTGCTAATCATTTTACAGGTTAATTCCAGATGTAAGTTCACATTTTTGCATAAAACTAGATGTTGAACTTCTTACATGTCTATAATTGCATGTTATACATGATGCTTTGGTATCTATAAAAGATCTAATCAGCCCCAGACAGAAGCATTATTACAGAGATTACAACTATTAATATACTTCAAACCAACAGCTCATTAGATCAAGTTCATGCAGTGGCTTTACATGAACTGATAGTGCAATGGATGAATCAGTTGTTCATATATGGAAATGTTAGCATATGTGATATGTAGATTTTAGAATGTGTTAAACGGAACAATCACAACTAACATGTACATCCTTAGTTCATACAAGGAGCAAAAATTAGTATAATTAATCAAGACAAAGATTATAAAAGTAAGCATTACCTAGTTATTATAACACTTGTTTTTATGAAAATGAATTTTTATGTCAAGAAAAAAGAGAGAAAATAATTAATGAAGAACAGCAATACTTAATATTTGTCAAAGAGCAAGAGGATATCTAATGTGGTAAGAAGTGTCGATTAAGATGCTGGTCTACCACCTAGAAATATATGATCAGTCCCTGTAACCTTTAGAAATCTAAGATATATAACTACCTGTTCATGCCTTTGAATCTTTGCAAAACGCAGTTACATGTGAAGTTATTGTTACATTTAGAATCAATAAATTCATCTAGAAACATTCAAAATTCTCTACCAAATGACCAAATTATAGAATATCAATAAACTAAATGTTCTAACAATCATTTAAGATAAATCAGTATTAATTTGAAGGAGAGCTTACAACAAAAACAGTTACAGATACATAACATTTTGGCATCATAATTGAACTTAAATGCAAATACCTCAGTTTGATCAGCCAAAATGACAACAACTGCATCAGATAAAGGCTGTACTTGCACCCATTCCCCATCTTTCAGTACCTCAAGACCTTCCACATCATCTTGTATTAGAAGTGTTATGGCACCCATATCAGAATGGGATTGCAAACCAAGAGCAAGATCTGGCTGAGGACAAGGGGGGTAGTAGCTAATAGTTATGTTCTGATAAACTTCTCCAACTGCTTCTTCAATGTACAGTGGTGGTAACCCAAGACTTTGGGAGATCATACATAACAATGTTTGAGCAAGCTTCTTCATGTTGTTGCTATATTCTATCACAACATCCCTGCCCAAATCAGCCAGTTCTATTGCATGCATTAGAAGGCATCACAAGTTCATGCTGGACAGAAATGAAAAAGAGAACGGTGGCATTAATGCCTGAATTTATGTAGCTGAAGGAAACATTTAGCAATATGACTCACACGTATCACATTGCATTTTTTTTTTAGTAATGATATTCAGAACTGCAGTAGAAAACCAATCAAGGTCTAAAATTTTGTATAATGTAAATGATCCAGAATGAGAGGCTCAAATTTTTGATGCACAGGAGATGACCATTTTAATTAGTAGTTCCATGCCAGTCTTGAAAAGAGTCCTGAAGCTAAGATTAAGAAAGTTTCCTCTAATTGAGAAGTCATAGAGAGCTTCAATGGATTATTTTGTCCGTTCCAGAAAATTTCCTTTTTGGATTCAGATTCACTACACAAAGTGAGTCCCTCCATCATCAAATTTGAATCTCAAACCAACAAAATTTTAGGTTCTCATTTCTGTTCAAAAACAATATCACAAAAGCAAGATCCTTGTGACCTTTAGGTGTCATATCCAGTTGGTTGACATCTTAACTCTGAGTTCAAAGTCTGAGGTCTATAACTAACTAGAACTTGACTAAATTCTTCGAACTGACTGCAGCCTAAAGAAAACAGAACTCAATTTAAAGGAATTGCTTCCTCATCAGTCAAGATGAACGACACACACCCTGAGTGTCTCAGTGGTATTACGCATGACCAAGATTTCACTACTCCACTAAAAATGCATCTATTTACTCTATTGCTTTCTGATGTTAGCTGGTTCTTATTCTTCAAAGACTTTTCACCCAAAAATGAAGTTTGCTTTAAATTGTGATCTTCAAATGTTACCAGGATAATATCAGCAGCAACAATATGCAGGCCATTGAAACTTATTAAATATATCAGTAAATTACATTATAAGTAAAACAGAGACATATCATCACTGTGCAAACAACTAAATTATTCTAGTTTTTCACTGATTAGTTCCGAGCCTTCAATTACTAAGCGAATTTCAACAATAAAAATATCAAACAAGTCAAAGAGCTGATTTTTGAGAAACTAACAAATAACAACTAAACTTTAGCCAGCGGCGCCTCCGCTAAACCTTCCAAATAATATAGTAGATGGTAAACGAAAGATTGCACAGAATGAAAGATTTCTTTGTCCGAACGAGTTAAATACTTAACACATGCAAATCCAATCTACCATAGTATACTCGATCATTAAGTAGTTTTAGAAATACCATTTCTCGCAAAAGTTCAAATGGTTGCATACCATGAATATCTTATTGAACAGTTTTTCCCTATAGAAATGACAAAATTAAACATTCAATTTCAGTATGACCAATCAACATGCAGCGCTGGTAGGTGAACTCAAAACCCCAGAGACCTGCCACCTTTCATCCCTTATCGAAATCACTAAATCCCAGTCGGATCAAAACCCATCTCGGACGTCTTCTTAACTAAAAGATGCTTACTTGCTCATTTGCAACCTTCTACGAGCTTTGTTTGAATCAATTCTAAAAGAAAAAAGATGCACAAGGTTGATAATTTCAATCCAACTATCCTAACCTGTAATTGGATGGGAAATCCGGCCACTGGCTAGGGTTGCGGCGAGACTCCGGCAGCGCGTGATGGTCGAAGTAATCTCTCCAATCGAGCACCCCATCGTCCTTCGCGAGCATGCGGCTCCCATAACCCTCGGAGGCCGGCGACCGGGGATCGCACGCGAACCGGAGCTTGGCCTCCATGGGGGCGCGGAAGAAGGAAGACCCCATGGCCCTGACCTCCTCCAGGAGCCCCGGGCGAACGTCATGGTTCACCACCTGGAAAGCGCCCCACTCCCGGCAGGCGCGGCCGATCGCCGGGACGGGGTCGCCGCCGGAGGGGCCGAGGTCGACGACGGGAATGCCGCCGCAATCCGCCGTGGCATCGCGACGGCGGCTGAGGTGCGGGCGGAGCTCCGGCGGCTGGACGTATCGGGCAGGGAGGTGGGCGACGCCGGCCTCCACGAGGGTTTGGACGCGTTGGGTTTCGGCCGCGGCTTCCATGGACGAACGGAGAGGGTGACGGCAGCCTTCGAGCGATGAAGTGAGTCATTTATAGACCTTTTTTAATAAAAAAAAATATCTATTTGAAATTTAATTCAATTATAAAGTCTTTTGGAAAATATAATTAATAGAATCTGCCAGTTATAGCCTCGTCAATCGTGTCACCGGCACGGCGAAGGGTGACATGCTACCAATTGAATCCGTCCCACTTGCTATGTGTGTACAATCGCTGTATCACATGATATATTACCTGAAGCCAAGAATAATCATTTCTTTGACGCTTTACGACCCAATCTGTAATTTGCAAGACAACGGTTTCATTAAGCGTTTAGGAATCATTTCAAGACAGCACCTTTCATGATTAACATTTCTTGGGGCAAGACAACGGTGGCAAGATTAACATTTCTCAGGTCTAATTATATATTATACTTTATAATTAAACCTTCTTAGTATCTCGGTCTTTGAGACTAAAAATTTTTATATTATGATTTGTATGGTTACGCTAACGTTATCGATTTTATCGATAAAAATATGAAAATAAAAGATAAAAATAAATTTAACATTCTGCTTGGTGGTAGCGGATAATGTTGGTGATGTCGAACGACGATAACATTGGGACAAAGTGACTGTTATGGATGAAGAGAGCAACGACGAGAAATAAGGGTCGTTCGACATCTACATTAGTAACCCTTGTGCTACTCGATAATTACGTTGACACCAACAAAAATACAGACGATGAAACGATTACTTGGCATCTACATCAACGTCAACATAATTATCGAGTGACGAAAGGGTCGTTGATGCAAATATCGAGCAATAGTTTCGTCGCTCGACAATTGCGTCAATGTCGATGCAAATACTAAGTAGTAAAAGAGTCATTCGACATCTGTGCACTTACTTAGATATAAAATAATATTATTCGACAATTACATCGATGCCAACAAAATATAGAGCGACCCTCATCTCTCGTTATCGCTCTCCTCATCCATAAATAGTCATCCGTAGAACCTAATGACGTCGTCATTCACCATCATCAATTAAAATATTAAAATTATTTTTTATCCTTTATTTTTATTTTTCTATCGATGAAACTGACGACGTTAAAATAAATAAACTTAAATATTTAATTTTTATAACTATAAGAATTCTAATAAAAAAATTTTAAATATAAAAATCAGAATGCTAAGAAAATCTAACTATAGGGATAATCTATCATTAACCTTTAATCGATGCTTCTCAAGCAAGTCAACATCACCAAACTGATAAGCACAATTTACTTTTCACACCTAGTTGAGGATATTAGAAACTTATAGGCATTCATATCTCATCAATAGAGAAACAATCATATAATGCTAAAAATATTCTTAAGAAAATTTCCTTCATAGCAACATAGTCAAAGCTCAAAGGAGGCACAAACAGTGATCAGTAGCAAGGTAAACGGTGAAAGAGATCAACCACGCTTGGGGCAAATTACTCCCGAAGACTGCATATAGATCCTCGATCAAATTGATAGATATTTTCACAGGGCAAATGACTTGACCACAAGATTTGCGATGTACATGAAAAGATCAGGAATACACAAAGAGTAAGTGAAATTGTCAACTAGTAGCCTCTCCATCAGATTGCCTGTCGATTAGTGGCTAGCTAACATATGTGTATGCATTTGTGAACCGTTTACGTTTCACTGCCTTCCATCAGTTCAACCGGTCTCCTCATGCAATGGAGAAGTTGATTCATAACGCAGATTGTAAAACTAGTTCCTTGACTAAATCTAATTCCTTGCATCTTGGAAGTACTCTGCAGGTATGGAAGCAGGGCAGTACTTCTTGGCGACAAATTTGTACTGGGAAAGAGAGAAATGCAACTCCAGTGTCAAACAAAGAATTACTAACTTACTGCAAGCTCAGCAGCTCATATAAAAGATTTACCTTGTGCTGGCTGTACTTTTCTCTAATTGCCGGTAGGTTATTGCCTGAGCTAGTGCAGAATAGGCGATGCAATGCCTTCACGCAATCAGAGAGATCAGATGGTTTATATAACGTGTAATGATCAAGTGTAGCATTCTGCATACAGTTTAAAATTGAAAAGTATTAATTCTAAAAATATAAAACTACAAACTGAATGTTGGGAATTGGAATCCAAGACTGATTAGCATTAGCAACAGAAAGATCACTTCCTAAAATGAAGATTTATTATACAAATGAAAATCGACAATCGTACCCAAGGCCTTTTTGCTGGTTGCAAGATGAACCTCGCCAAGAAAATAGCAGAAGCCGCTATAAGTGATGGAGCATAGCAAAGCAAACTGTACTCCAGAAGTGAAATCTCTGCCACATAACTGGCAAGAAACTCAAGTTGCAATGCTGGAACCTGGAAAAAGGAAAATGATAAGAATCACAACTCTCCATGAAAACAACTACGAAAGAGATGGGCAAAAGATGGAGTTACCTCATCAGATCCTTGAGCGGCCCGAATGAATCTCCTTTTCATATCACATCAGATGATATAGTCAGTAGTATGTCCGCATAATACTTGACAACATAGACACCAAGGTTCCTAGTTTTTACCTCAAAAAACACTTAACTGTTGGGGCTGTCATTTCATATTTCAGGTACTTCAAAACATCGGCTTCCATTTGAAAAACCTGTAACACTTAGATATGAATGGACAACACAAGCATTGGATATGATAACTTAACTAAAGTTGAAAGCACGTCCACCTCATCCTTGAAGTATGTGTTGTCAGTAATATAGCAAAATTCTTCCACTTGTGGGGCACATATCTCCTCATATTTTCTACAAGTATATTAACATATATAAATTATTATGAATGAAAGCAAACATACTCAATTAGAACATCTGTAGTCAGTTCTTACGCAGCAATAAGCATACAAGAAACACCAAGAAGTTGTAATCTTTGGCGGTTTATCTCGTTGCCAGAAAGATACCGATCAATGTAATTAACAGTTAGGTATAGTGTATCAGGTACAAGACGATATTCTTCTGCAACCTGTGGTGAAGAAAAGATAAGTAAATTTGAATAGAATGAAATGGCATCCACAAGGAGTCGCTTGTCATGGATATACCTCTACAAGCCAATCTATTAGAATTGAACGCATACTTGCATTAATGTCCTTCTGAATTTTTTCCATGAAATCCGTGGAAGGCCTTTTCTTAGTCTGTCAGGTAAGCAGAAGATGTACTCTGATATCAGGTACAAAAACACTGTTCATTCTAAATTATGTCTACTCATACATCCAGATTAAGGAACTTAGTGCTTTAAATATGAGGGCACTGCATCATTAGGTAGAATATAAATACTATTTCAAACGCTCCAGAGGCATAATATAAATAAAACTAGACAAGATTATGATACAACACAGCATCCAAAATAGATCAAATTTAGCATCTCAGTATATTATTACTGAGACAAACTTAATTGACTTATTTTTTGTAAGAATAAAGAAAAACCAACAAAACTTAGATCTTAATTATAACCAAATTAGGAAGCACAAATACTTTAGTTCATCATAGGTAAAGACACTATTGCAGACTTAGTAACTTCCTAAGAAATGCTGGCATGGATTGACAAAAGGAACAGCGCGATGTGTGCTAGTCTTCATCCACACAAACTGATATCAAAATCGCAAATGAATCACCTTCTTTAATAGTATTATGTTACAGCATGAAATAAATCACACAAATTGACATTGAAGACTTAAATTATAGTGCAAGATACTGGAATTATAAACTAAAACTTCTTGAAATCAATTCAGCATAAGTCAAAATTTCCAATTATGAACAAACTAAGTGATACTGATAAGTTATACTTCATTAAAACCATCCTAGCCTACAAAATTGAATGACTAAGTTATTTCAATCGACAATTCAAACCTGCATCGCTGCATCAATCAAAATGCACGAGTTCACTAATCAGTACCAAAACAACACACCATATGATGCAGGATCATTTTTATTTTTTTTTGTATTTGGAATAATTTTATATCTTTAGGGATTTTTGCAATGTAACATCTTATTTAATTCTACATCACTTTACGAGATATCTCTGAAACTATTGAAACGATTGGTATATGTCTCCGATTGAAGATACTTTACAAGAAAGAAAAAACAGAAGGACAACCCTCAAAACAAAATTGGCAGCGATTTTTTTTTTTCTAGTATGGTAAAAATGGTTACCTTAAGTAAAAAGAAATGATTTCTTTTGATGATTTTTCCTTATTCTTCTTTGTATTGGAGGTCTATTCAAAGAGAGAAAGAATTGTATCAAGTAAACATGGCTGACTGTATGAAAATATATTTTCCAACATTATGTACGTGATTTGGGGTCACATTTTCTTTTTAGATAGTGTGATTCAATCATCCACATGTAGACATGCGAAGCAATGTGAAGCTTCAACCTTTATTCCTCGAGCCAGAATGAATCTGAGATTCTGATATTTCTTTTTCTCTTGTTCCTCATCTAAATTTTTTTTTTCTATTCCACAAATTCTATAAATAAAATTATTTTCTTTGTCCATCCAAGATTCATTCTACGTCAGGGTTAGTATTAGAGATCTTCTACTAGATCACCAAAAATCCTATGTATGTCTGATGGCCCCATCCTCTGCATCAATGTTTTCAACAATTAACAGTCAGTAGGAGCTTGTAGCATGGAAGACCAAATTAATTGGTGCATACTGCGCCGTTACTGAACTCGAACCAATAATGAAAAATATTCTTGCTTATAATTTGACATTGTTTTATATTTTCTTTGATCTCCTCCACCAAAGTCCCACCACACTTCTCCTCTACCTCTCTTATAAAAAAATTTCCAAACCCAGAACTTCTCATCACCCCTTTTCTTTATGTGATATTTTTATTGCTTTTTACCAAAATTTATAAATTTCATCGAATCCTTTCTATTTTTCTTTATTGTGAGATAGATGAATGATTTTGTATCATCACTACTTTTCTCATTTCCTTCCATCTTGTTGTCTCTGGTTGCCAAAGATAACAAGAATCTTCAATTTGAGTAGCAAATTCTTTCAAACCATTGCTCAACAATATTGACAGTAAGCAAAAGTGAGTCTCTTCAATACTTCTATTTATTGTCTCTCACTTCTTTTTCTTCCCCATCTCCACCTTGAACATCAGATCAAACCCACATCAAATGCCTAGGTATTATTCTACAACAGAGACCTAAGACCCAATCACATGCATATCTTCTTCTTTTTCTGCTACTGTACTGCCAAGCTGTAAGGCTGGTTGGCGTAGTTGAAACTGGCAAACTATAAAACCTTAATTAAGGGCAACTATAATGGAGTATCGAACCAAAGAAATAAAGATAGCAATGCAAGTCCTAATAGATATAGATTCCAGATAAAGAGAACCAATTTATGACCCTACTAGCAAGCAAGCAAACTAAGCAAACTCCTGGGAACATGTGCATTGATCGAGTAGAATGGCAAAGACAAGAACAGTTCACATCAGTATATGCAGTACAAATATACAAAAGAGAACCTACAAAAAAGAGTATACGACATCAAGAATCTCACCTCAGCTATGCGTAAATGTCTGTAGATATCACCAGCAAGTGTAGTGCAAAATTGTGGATCATCGTGGTTTGTATCAACATCAATGATGTCATCAACTTCCATCATCATAGGAACATCAATGCTCAATTTGGAGCCTGATGAGTATATATGACAATCACTGGTGATTAGGTGACTAAAAAGAAACAATATATCAATTTAAGGTGCCAAAATTAAGAAGCACAAAGGATTATTGACTATGACAGCCCTACTGAAAAATTTATTTCAGAAAAAGTCAAAACAAGAGTACCTGCTTCAGCTGCATGCTCAGAGATGTGAAGGTTTTTATTTGCTTGTCTCTCCAAGGAAGTTATAACTGAACAATCTCCTTTGTCTATATACTCAAAGTCAGGACTTCTCATCGAATCACATGTTGACATTGTTTCATCCAAAGAAACAGAATCTCTGGAGTGACCAGGCGACTTAAGTGTACTGCAGGGTACAAGACAGGCAGGAACTGTAATCTTAGGTCCATTGTTGATTGAAAGTGAACTCTTGTTGCTAGATTTATTTGTATCTGGTTTAATAGCAGCCGAAGTAACTGCAGAGCTGCCACCCGATCTTGTATCACGATAACTACTCAAAGATCCCTTCTTTGTTGAAGCTGAACTTGTTGTGTTAATCTTCTAGATTGGCCAAAAATAGGATCAATCAGGTATTAACAAGTAATGCATCAAAAAGTAAGAATTAGATATACAAAAAAATACCCTTAATCATGCTCAAACTTTAAGAAAATTAAAAAAGTAGTTGGTGACCAATGAAAAATGCAGAATTTAGTAACGACATATAAGTAAAAGAACAACTAAGAAAAATGTTAATCTCCAATGGAATTAAGAAAAATCTGTAAGCAAGATGCAAAGGAAAATAGTTGAAAATAGAAATCAACATGAGAAGACCAGTAGGTAACATGGTTAAAAAAAAAAGAGCCAATATCCATGCGAGAGCACAAAAACATATTCAATTTTGAGTAAAATATCGCAAGACCTCATGTTCTAATTTAACCAGGGCTCAAATATAAGCACCTTATGCAGTATCCGAAGATGAAAGAACATCAAACATGAGAGTTTTCCAACAAAAAATATCGCATTACTCAAAAAAGGACAAACTACCATGTTTCACTGTCATTTTGTGTCAAAACCATCTAAACTCCATGAAAATAGCATTAGAAGATATATCAAATAACCATTGCATTGGAGCTACAAGCAAGAAATGTCAAATACTGACAGAATGTATACGAAGTGACAATATTTTCAGCTATAATAACGCCAGAAACAAAAATGATCACTGAAATTTGTAGTTATATTAGGAACCCTAAAACAAAATTGGCACGCCAAGCGCCCTTATTCTAAGCGTTCTACTGAAACGATCAGAATCCCAATTCATCATACAAAGAACACCGCAAACCTCTCTAGAGCATAATACCACATAACAATCAACAATCATATCGGGAAAAGACGCGCGGATTCTACTAAAAAAGCACATCCATATGTCCAAGAAGGTAACAAAGAATGCAGCGCCAAGTATACCCACGTTGGCCCCCTTAGCTCCGAGCGGCCGAGCAGGGTTACGTGCCACTTTGCTCTGGTTGCTAATATTCGCAAGCGCGACCCTCTTCTTGGCCTGCCCCGCCAAAGCTGCCGGCATCTTGGAGGCAGACTCCGTCGCAGCCGGCCTCTTCGCCGAAGCGGACGCTGCGGAGGCCGACGAGGAGATCGACGGCCGGCGATTCATCTATCAATGCCCCTCGATAAACCCTAACCCTAACAATCCCAAACCGGGAGCCCTCAACTCGCCTCGCTCCAATTCGGCCTCTCTCGCTACGAGATCAAGCAAGAAGGGCGAAGAGGCGACCGGACCAAGAAGGGATCAAGTTGCGAAACCCTAATGTCAGGGTGGCGATGGGGGGTCTCCTTCCTTCTTCTTCTTCCGACAAGAGGAGCGGATTAAAAGCAGGAAGAGGGTGGAGAACGAGATGGATTTATCGACGCCCTCTTTCGATTAATTAATTTAAATTAAGTTCTTGGAGGGAAGAAGTCGTTTTGAATCCCGAAAGATCTGGACCGTCCATCATGGGATCATCACGCAGTCCCGCATCGTGGTGGCGCTCCTCCGCGTGGCTTTATGATCATTGGACCCCTTCGTGACAGCCAGGTGGGACCCGCTCCTCTCCAAACCGGAGGCAGGTAAGAAGTCGAGCAGGGAGTACTTTTACCTCGACGGGTTTCACGTAGCTGTGATCACCGGAAGTGGGAATAGGATTGCAACCACCGGCAATGGGGGTGGAGTAACGAGCGGGCGTTTGGACGGACGAGGGAAGGGTGGGGGCGGTGAGGGGATCGCGGAGCTTTAAAATTCGAATCGACCGGCCCGGAAAGCTACGAGTTGTTTAATAATAATAATAATAATAATAATAATAATAATAATAATAATAATAATAATAATAATAATAGTTCAGGTAAAGCTACGAGATTTACCCTAATTTTTTATTGTTTGATTATATTCATGAAAATGTGTAAATTATTTAATGAACTTAGTTGTAAAAGAAGGTTTATGTTTAATAGAATGTCATAATTAAACATAAGAACTACCTTAGATTAACCTTAAAATGGTTTGGATTGATGTTTTCCATCCTCGTACGAATTTGGATTAATGAAGATTTCATTCAAATCAAAAATTTCCAATTTCAATGAGTGGGTGAGAACCTAGATTGACCTATAAACTATATTTGTTGTGCAAGAAAAACTCAAGATCAAATAAGAAAAGGAAATAAATAATTAGAATATAGCATACATAAAAAAGGCAAGATTATATATATATACATATACACATATTCCTCCAAAATATTAAAACTTAGCTTATATGCCGATCTCCACTAGTTGTTAGTTGTTATTTGAGATTCTAATTTATGGTTTATACTGATCTACTCTAAAAACTTATAGCAAGTCTGAAAGAATTAATGTTGGATTCCGGCAGTGTATAAGTTATTTCAAAATTGATAATAAAAATATGTTATTTTTGAAGCTTGTAACTATATATATAATCTCTAAATAAATCAATCTAATAACTATATTCCTTTGCTTAATATTAGCAAACTTAATGTTAGAATAGGAATAATATTATTTGAGCTCTGATCATAACAAAAAATAAGTCAAATATTATAAAATAAAATAAAAATTAGAAAATAAAATCTCGTGCTATCGTTTCTTTTATGCGTATGTCGTGAAGAATTAGGACGAAACTCTAATACGAGAATTAAATAGAAGAATGGAAGATGTAAATATATATATATATATATATATATAAGGGCGGTCGCTTCCGTTATGTTGACCTCCGTTTTCCTGGCGAGCTCTTCCATTCCGAGCTCTCGGGCTCGCAATTGCCGTCTAATCTCTTCCTCAGTCCCTAACTTTAGCCGATCGTTGCAACAACCGATCCCTCGTTTAAGTATGGCGTCCCTCCGCGGCTTCCTCGCCCGGCCCCAGGAATCCGACCCAGCTTCCTCATCCGGTCGACGGGCTCCGAGGAGGAGGCGGCCCCGCTCTCCCAATTTCGGACGCAATTACCCGGTTACTTCTTCTTCTCCGCGCCGAGATCTGGTGCCGCGATTTCTCTGTCCCAAAGGAATCCATGAGCCGCGTAGGTTGGTTCCTCGATTCCTTCTTTGATTAGCACTCCGCAATCTTGTTTGATCGCAACTTTTTGGTGTATTTCAAGGTCTCATTCCGGATATGTTACCTGATTCTCATCTTTATCCTCGTATGTTGTTTCTGGTATTGCGTGCGCTATTTAAGATGAGTTTTTGTATTGTTTCTTGCGTTACTTTTGGTGGTGTTATGGTCCGGTAAATGTGTGCGTTTCTTGGAATTGTCTTTTGTGCTGTGTTAACAATGTCATGCCAGTGTTGATCTTTTGTTGCTTGTATTCTTTAGAGAGAATGCTTTCAAGGAATCCTGACACAAGTAATCCTATCTAATCGTGGAGGAGGATTAGCCATTTTAATTCCCATGTTGCTGTGTCCATAATTTAGTGTGCCCATAACCTGTTCGGTGAAATTTCGGAATAGCAATAACTGGGTTGACATGATTCTTTTCATTGAATCGAGTAGAAGTTCCATTTCGTAAACCGTTGAGACTAGTCCTGTTATCTGCTACTGCTTACAATAATTGCAGCTAACGGAACACTCATGTTGTTGGTTCATGGTGTTAAGGAGTCTCATTCTTAGACTGTGCCTTCCTTTGAAACTTGTTGTTGTTCACAAGTTGAGCTGTAAAATCTTGTCTTGTTCCATCTTCTTGTATCAGTCTGCAGATTAGCATATCATGCCATGGTTTTAACTCAAATCGGTTCCCATGTAGTTCTTTGGTACTTCTGGTTCTTTCTATTTTATGCAAGCTGACACGAATGCCATTCTACCAGGAAAAGTATCATCTAATGACAAACAAGTGCATCCCATAGCCAATACCTCCATGGACCCAACAAAAAGCTCAGAGACCGGACATGGCCCAAACCCTAGGCCACCTATGAGTTCGGATTCAGTATCAACAAAAGTATCGCGTCACAAAGATCTGGAACCAGTTGCCAAGGATGTCTCGAAGAGTTCGAGTCGAAGCCCGAAACACAATCCAACCCACGGTCCTGGCTCCAGATTGCCAATGATTTCGGAAACTGCTTCGACCTCATCCTCTACCTCGACCTCAATCGGGACATCGATGGCAACAATGGCTGCAAAGAGCAGTGATGCAAAGCTTAGCGACTCCTGCACAACTGCTGTTCGAGGTAGCAGCGGTGGCAACAGAAGTGACAGCACAGAGAGTGCCAATTCTGCGCCCATTAAGCGGCACACAGGAGGCGATTGTCGTTGGGAGGCCATTCAATTGGCCAATGCAAGAGAATCCCCTGTTGGCATAGGCCATTTTAGACTCCTTAAGCGCCTTGGTTATGGTGACATTGGCAGTGTTTATCTTGTTGAGCTTAGAGGAACTGGTGCCTACTTTGCAATGAAAGTGATGGACAAGGCATCGATTGTTAGCCGTAATAAGCTACTCAGGGCACAAACTGAAAGGGAAATACTCAGTATGCTTGACCACCCCTTCTTGCCGACTCTCTATTCTCACTTTGAGACACAAAAGTTCTACTGTTTGGTCATGGAGTATTGCAGCGGTGGCAACCTCCATTCTCTTCGGCAGAAGCAGCCTAATAAATACTTCAGCGAGCAAGCTGCTAGGTAAGTCTCTTCAGCTTCTTCTTTACTTTTTTACCTTGTAAATAAACTATGTTAATTACATGCAAACTTTCTCTACCTTCCTGCAAACATCTTTCAATAATAATGTTTGTATACCTCTTTAGTTATTGGTCTCTTTCAGTAACCAAAGAGGACAATGGGAAATCGATACTTTATCCTCCAACCTGCTAACATTATTCTATCAGACATCATATATTTTGTGATCCTAAATTTCTACAGACAACACTTAATTTTTTAGCAATGACGTGCCATGTCATATTGACTTGGTTTTGAGTAAGGATCAATAAAGAAGCATGTTATACTATGCTACTTACATGTCTTTCTCTCCCTTGGTTTATTTTCCTGGACTATGCTACTTTTCATCTGTGTTGCATGTCTTAAATATGGTAATATTTTTGCTTCAAAATCATCATAATCTTTGAAAACGTTTTATTCATTCATTCTATTGTAATTGTTGAGGAAGCAGGTTCTATGCTTCTGAAGTGTTGCTTGCGCTCGAGTACCTGCACATGCTCGGCATCGTGTACAGAGACTTGAAGCCAGAAAATGTTCTCGTGAGGGAGGAAGGCCACATCATGCTGTCGGACTTCGATCTCTCGCTGCGGTGTTCTGTTGATCCAACCCTAGTCAAATCCTCATCCGTTCGCAGTGGGAGCAGCGGCGGCAGTAGCGGCAACGACATGTTTGATGGCGAGCCACCGATACAGAGCTGCATCCAGCCATCCACATTCTTTCCTCGCATCCTCCCCAAGAAGAACCGCAAATCCAAATCCGATTTCGGCATCAACAATGGCTCTGCCTTGGAGTTCATGGCAGAGCCAACAAACGCCCGATCGATGTCGTTCGTCGGGACACACGAGTACCTAGCGCCGGAGATCATTCGAGGCGAGGGACATGGCAGTGCAGTGGACTGGTGGACGTTTGGGATCTTTCTGTACGAGCTTTTGCATGGCACGACCCCCTTCAAGGGATCAGGCAACCGTGCCACGCTTCATAATGTGGTCGGCCAACCGCTGAGGTTTCCGGAAACCCCACTGGTGAGCCTGGTTGCTCGAGACCTCATCCAAGGCCTGCTTGTGAAGGACCCACAAAGAAGAATTGCTTACCACAGAGGTGCTACAGAAATCAAGCAACACCACTTCTTTGAGGGTGTGAACTGGGCGTTGGTGAGAAGCATGGCGCCACCCCACATTCCTGAACCGATCAACTACAGTCAGTTTGCGAGCAAGGAGAAGAAGGCCACTGACGGTGGCCTCTCTGGGAGTAGTGGAAGCAAGGGCAGTGCAAGTGATTCTTCCTACTTTGATTTTGAGTATTTCTAGGAAAAAAAGGCCTTGCAGGTTAAATTGTCATGAATCTTTGGTGAGATGTTGGAAAGGCGATCTCTGTAAACATGAGTTATATTTTCTTCTGTGAATTAGAGAAATAAATGTTTCATTATTTAGGGAACTATATGGAAGTTGTTTGTTGTCATACCAATACTGCCTGATACGAGGAAGATTCTTTGACACTAAAAAAAACTGACTCGTTAATGCATAATTTGAAGGAACGAAGTCTTATTTTGCCGTTGACTACATTCCAAGCATAATTTTAAGGAACAAAGTTCTTTTGATATCTAACGACTAGGTTCTCTCAGACTTATGTTGCACGTAGTATTCCAAGAAGTCAATTATTTCTTTCTAAGCTAGGTCTATACCCAGATGAATATTAGGACCGAGAAAAGCAACAGCATGACTGATCATATTGTATAATTTTTTTTTAGTAATATAGAATTGCCTAACTTTGATAACTAAATTATTGTACTCACGAAACCGGAAGTGAGCTTTGGTACAAATGTTTTTATTTTTATTCTACTTAAGGCGCATCAGGTACACCATCATCATCAGACTAGTCATTTAGGTTTAAACATTTATTAGATAAGATTTCAAATTATCAACTTAAGACTAACAATTTAAGTCTAAAAATTTATAATATAAGATTCCAAATCCTCAACGTAACGTGTGAGTCAGGTACACCATCTACAATCTAATTGTTTAAAATGATATGGATGCATAACTAGAGGGAAAATTTCTATATACCTGACAATGAGATAATTAGCTACATTCCAGTCATGATTGCATACAAATCATTGTAATAATGTACAGTTGAAAAGAATGCTCAGAGAGGTGCTTCTTTTTCTGTATGATTACCATATCGTGTCTTCAAAATACTTGTTACTATCTTGAGTTATTAAATCTCGATTCACGTGTCTGTACAAAATTATGAGGTAATAATGTTTCCCCAGATTGTGAAATTCTTTGGAGAAGTGCTAATAAACTAACTTCTTTCCCAACTATGTTTTCTTTTCTAGAACATGCTTTTCCAGAACACATAAATAAAGTCATGCAGATTATATATATATATATATATATATATATATATATATATATATATATATATATAAACAAATCCTAATCTATATAAAGATTGAAAAGATGAGACATGATCACTGGGTTGATGAATACCTGATAATATATTGTCATCTGCAAGACTAAATATAAGTTTTATTTTCTATCTCAAGTGACTTGTACATGATGCTTGGCTAACCTAATTGGTTACCATCATTTAGCTAGCTAAAGTCATTTACAGAGAGATATTAATGTTGAATGTATGCAGGACATATTGGGTCTACAGAACATTTGCGTCGAGAAATAGATGAAAAAAGCACTAGATTAATAATATGCAGATAAAAAAAGTCATTTCCTACCATCATCCCAAGAATACAAAATTATTACTAACAGGATATATAGATCTTCAGTGCATAAGTGACCTTTGCTTATGGAATTCAGACAAGAATCAAGTCCAACAAGATTTCAACAGCTATGAACAAATTTTCTTTATCTTTAGGCATAAAAGCATTAACACTTGGTGCTTGACACCCAAATTGGCTTGGGCACTCAAGTAAAATGATTTGATTCACCAATCCCTAAATCTAGTCCCGAGTTGTTTACCTGTGATGTAGTGCTCAAATCTTATCTCTCTATGCATTTATATTTATGGAAGTATCTAGTCCAAAAGCAATTTGACAATAGACAAAGATACTGTTGAAAATAATGATCATTAGTCAGTTATGGATGAATCAAATCTAGAAATAATTAAATGAAATAAAGGAATCTTGGACAGGATATCCGTTAAGTGATGACAAATATGGTGGGTAGCACTGCATCCACCATCAATGCAAGTTGGGTCATACCAAATAACTAATTAAACAGACAGTTGGGTCAGACCGAAGACCTAGTTTTTATCTGTTGTTGTTTAGATTACACCTGAAGATAATCCAGCACTCCAGATTTTACCAATCCATTTCTGTTGCTCCAGAAGAGTAATTGTACTTAATGTTATGGTTGCTATAGAATAAGGTTCCTTCGATCTGCTGACCTCAATTTTTAACAGTAGGTTTTTATTACTACCAGAAGTGAAGAAAAACTGACAGGCATAAATTTTAGATATACGGCTTAACTCGAGGAGCATTATTAAATTTTCAACAAAGCAGCAGAGCCTGCAATGTACCAAGAGTACCTTTTTTGTGCTCTCTGAAAATTTGTTCATCATGTTTTCCATACTGAAGACATGTTTTTCATCAGGTTGCTTGATCCAGAATCTTTGTCAGAAACCTTCAAAAGCATATATGTTGCTCTCTACCACAACAGCATCATGTTCTGGAAAATAAAATCATTAGATAGATAAGCCAACAGATGTGAAATTAATCCATAAAGCATGCCGATGACCAACTTACAGTTATAGCTGTACTGCAACATGGTAAAGACGATAAAAAGCAAGGAGACAGGCACCTGAAAACTACATAATGATCCTCAGTTTAGATCCCTGAGAGATTTCGAATACCTAATGCTAAAACTATCAAATGACCACCCATAGGTCTGAACCAAAGAATATATTTATACAAGCAGCAAAGTATTCAGACTAGATGGATCCACAAAGCAGACATCAGATTGTTACGAATATACTACTCTAGCTAGTAAAAAGAACAACATAGAATTTATCAACAGAAAAATGAAGAAGAGGATTTCACTGATCATCCAGGTTAAACGGAATGAAAAAAAAAAAGCTAGACCAGCAAGAGTTAATTTTTTGACACAATATCAACCATGTCTCTTTAAGGATCATTTAGCAACATCTGTATTTGAAGTCACCTTAACATGAAAACACTATGTATCCTGATATCCATGAAGCGACTCGAGCAACAACAGATTTGAAGCCACCTTTGTAGCATAGGCTTCCTCTTTTGTGGGACCTAACCTCCATTTGAACCTACACCTGAAGAGCCCATAAATAACATGCATTCAACCACAGAAGTCTCCAACATGAAGATGGGGCACTGAAGATGGGGCACTGAACACGGGAAGATACACAGTACAGCATTACCAGTCATTTGGTTGAGGTATTGCGGTGTATCATAGAGATCCAACTGCTGGATGAACCAAGGTGTGAAGTATCAGTTGGACCTGATTGTTTGGAACTAATGACATTTTTCTTTGGTGCACCAGGAAAAGCAAATGATGCACTTGGTGCTTGTGCTTTCTCAGAGCTTATTCCCACCCTCTGAAACAATTAGAGAACCAACCATTTCATAATTAAGGTATTACAAGAATCAATACGCCATAAAGGAAACTTTTATATCAGAATAGTTTACTGTTTCTAGAAGTGTATCTAGATGTCTAAAAGGAATGCTTCATCAGTAGAAGATAAATGAGTTGTCACGGCTTACCAACTTGTCAATTTGCTGATTGTCAGAACTCAAAGTATTATCAGCTGCAAGCTTGAACTGCATTTGAACCGTAGGACATGCAGAACTACTTGGTCCAATATGCTCTGTAACTTCATGAGGGCGAGGAACATTATGTGCATTTGTAACTGGAATTTGATTTAACCAAAACAAAAACGTTATATAAGCATTCAAATTAACATTAGCATAGAACCTATAAAATTTAAAATTAAAATTCAAGACAGTCTATGATTGACTGACTGCTGAGTTATAGCTTCATTTCTGCTCCAAGAGATAGGTACTTCCAATTTTATGTACTGTCAGGTGAAACAATTTAAAAGCAAACTGGAATCGCCAGCACATGTTAATAATAAGGCTCATAAATTCAGTAATGTGGATAATAATGATTTGGTTGAGATAATTAGGAAGAGAATGAAATCTTCATGTCAGTAAATATGCTAGCCTCAGTAATAACCAAAAAAATTTATTGTCATAAAAAAATTCAACTTTTGTCTGTGTAATGAACAGTGATTAATCAATAATTCCAAAACTCTTCATAACAATCTTAAGTAAAACACTTTGTTTGTATATTTCATTAAATAATACAGCTACCATGATATCTGCATTCCATAACAAAAACAATAACCAACAGGATGCAACTGCTTATTTTCAATCAGTACTGACCATCAACTGAAAGAAGGAAATTACCACGAGTAAACTACAACACTAGTGAACTTAGAGTCACCTTGATGTTTGTCAACATCCATTGGAGTCGCTCGGAGGCTAGTCATCCCACAAGCAACAGGCTGGCAATTCAGATAAAAAGATCTCATCAATAAAGACATTGTGGAGCCATTTTACAAGCTGAATTTCTACAAGGACATCAATGTAATTGCACAGACACCCCCAGAGAAAAAAAAAGGAAGAAACTTAGTAAGTCAATGCTCGTAAGTTAGAAGGAATGAAGATCACTTAGTAAGACATCCACTCAGTCATACATCAAAAAAGTTGGGTTGAAATTCAATCACTTTAGCTCAAAACCTTTATAATTTAATCAGACCATCTTGTCTCCCAATAAGACAAAGCAAAACCTTAGCTATATATCATATTGTAAGTGCCCAGCAATCATATGCGTTGTCAAACCATACAAAAAAAAAGGGTAAAGATCTAACTACCACCTAAAGGAGCTTTGTTGTGTATTTGATAAGTTAAAGAATACTAACAGAGAACCGAAGCTGAGATTTTGTCCTTTGGGCTTTCTGATATTTCAAAATCGTCCAGTCAAAAATATAATCAGATTCATAACCTGCCATAATGAGAAAAAAACAAATTTAGTGAAATTCATAAGGCAAAGATAATTATGTTGGCAATTATCAGCTTATAACAAGTCAACAAGTCCACAAGAAAATTGCATTAGCGCAAAAAAAGAATCCTATAGAAGATCACTTCTACGCCAGTTTACAAAAATTGACTTTCAAGTTCTGCAAGACATTCTATTGGCATTTTCTTTGGTTTCACTTACATATGCAGTCATGAAAAATAGTGCAATGATTTTGAAAAAAATAAGATTGGAATATATTCTCAACCTAATAATGAATAAAGTATGCTTCTAAGCCAGATGATGAAGGAAAAGTGGCAAAATAATCATGCTTTTCAAGGGATTACCTTCACGATTAAACAAGTCATGGAAGAGGCGCTTTAGAAATCCATAATCAGGTCGTTGCTCAAATGTCAAAGAGTGGCAGTAATGGAAGTATGAAGCAAATTCCACAGGATGAGATTTACATAAAACCTATTAAAAGTGAATCATATTGAACATATTAATAAGATTTCCAACACTATGATATGTAAAACAGATGTATATATAGAACACGTACTTCAATAGGAGTTGAAAGCTTCTTCTCACAAATCTTATCATACTTCTGTTTCTTTGTGGCAGCTTTCAGACCTTGCCATGGAAGACTTTAAAGAATCACAAGAGAGTTAATTATACCAATGATGTATGAACAGAACATGCAATAACTGACACAGCAAATACTTGGAAGAAAAGTTCTGTGCTTTTGAAATGACTAAAATAAATGAAGAATGTGAGGAAGTACTCAAAAGCAAGATCCTACTAACTCATGTATATATAGACTACTCATCATTATTGCTTTTGTACAAACAAAAACTATTTCATAAAGCATTTTAAATTTCCTTTGAAACATGAATGACTCCACAATTACAATCTGCCCAAAACAATAGTCTATACTCTGTTTTAATTTTAAACACTCATGATATTTCAGGTGTCATTCATCATATATCAGAATATATCAACCCCAATGACCTTATAAAACAAGGAAATTATAAGTTGCTACAATTCTGAAGTAGGGTAACAGAGGAAGAGAAGTTAAATTTGGAAAATAAACATGCTGTCTCAATTTAAGCATACCTCCCTCTGAGGAAATAGAGAAAAACATAACCTAGAGATTCCAAATCATCCCGACGACTTTGCTCTGAAAAATGGATGGCTCAACCGAGTGAGCATGGCACCGAATTAAGATTTAACAATGCTTCGATTTGTCTCCACTTACCAATGCCGAGATGAGTATTGCAACTTGCATAACGAGCAGTTCCAGTCAAGCTCTTATTTTCTCTGGCTCATGAAAAAGAAAAAGTTAATTTTCACCTAAGCATTCAAAAGGGCAATCAGTCACTAAAACAAATGCAGGGAACAATATTATCAGAGAAGTAGCAATATTGAGTCATTTATATCTGGTAACACAAACTTCCATGAGCTTTATCTCTTTAGTGTTCTGCTGCTTGTTCAATAAATTGATGCCAAGGTAAAAGTACCCAATTTTGTGTTTCTTTTTCTATTCGAAAGCAGCTCCAGTTGATTAGAAAATGTGTTCATACTTCACAACTCACCAACTAGAAAGACCCATACTAATCTTTTTCCAAGGTATTCTAGATACAGTAAGAACGAGTGATATAAAAAACTGTCGGTCTTATTCAGGTAGAAGATTGCTCACTTGTATGGAATATGACGGTTGGTGGTAGAATCCCTATATCTTTTTGCAAGCCCAAAATCAATGATGTATACCTGGACAACCATATTCAAGTACGTATCACTAGCAAAGAAACCCCAACAGTGCATATGCAACCATGAAACTGATTAGAGGCACTCAGTATTGCTACCTGATTGGCTTTTCGACCGAGACCCATTAGGAAGTTATCAGGTTTTATGTCTCTGTGCAGAAAACCCTTTGAGTGCACATACTCTATTCTTGAAAGCTGTAATAAACAGAAGTAGATCAAGGCTAATTATTAATTTGGTTTATTGGAACTCAAAAACTACAAAAATAATATAGCATGACTATACATAACAAGAAACAAAGTATTACAACTTCCATCTACTTCTTTTGCAAGAGGTACTTGACTGAAACTCAAGATAGCAAAAATAGTAAGAGTGAATTCAAGTAAAGCATCCAAAGGTCTTAAGACATTATCAAGGGTGCTTTCAGAACACATGATATGCAGACATGTTTCTTTAATAAAATACAAACCATGCACATGGACATGCACATAAACATACATACAAACATAGACAAATCCATATCCACCCACATGCAAGCATGCCAAAGCACATATACAAGCAGGGGTGCACATGCACATCAACAACATACTAAAGCACATGACACATGGCTTGATGAACCATGGAAACAAGAGTTACTGGAATAAAGTATAAAAGAGCCATGCAAAGAAGCTAGTATTACACCAGATAGATAAAACACAGAGTATACTAAATGTTACCCCATGGCACTAAGTATGAGATTAAGAACCATGAATTATCCACTAATATTTAAAACCTGCATATACAGACTCACTAAATTATTTCAGATACTAGAATAATACAATTTTGTTGCCAGTAAGCCTCATATGGGGTCCAAAAGCAGCCTTCTTGTACATTTTAACTCTATCAATTAAAAAAAAGAACATGAAGTCCTTTTGATGCTGAAAGACAAATAATTTGGAGTTCAAAGCTGAATACATATATATATATATATATATATATATATATATATATATATATATATATATACTGAAAGCAAAGAAAGATGATGACCTTATGTCATTAAGAAAAGGTGATTATGATAATTTTCAGACATCACACTCAGACTCATACAAAAGAAATGCTTATTTCAGTTTCCAATGATCTTTGCTTTTATCAGCATAACAGAATTTGTTTCAAACATATTTGAACTTTTTATCTGACCATTTCAGTACTTCTCTTGATGCAATTATCCTTTCATGAAAACCTTTTATATCTTTCAATAGTAGAGTTTCAAAATTGTAAACAGGTGTAAATAGCAGGTATAACTGTTTCATGAAATTTGTTTTATCCTAATATGATAATTTCCCATTACCATCTGATCTGCAAGCAACAGAACTGTCTTTAACGAGAACTTGCGACCGCAATAGACAAACAGATCCTCAAGGCTTGGACCAAGCAAATCAAGAACAAGCACATTATCCTCTCCGTCGACGCCACACCATTTTATGTTAGGGATACCACCTGAAAGCATGATTTGTAATTTAATGTTATCATATATCCCAGAGTAGGGGCAGTGATTTGACATATGACTTATATCACGCACTTCCGCCCTGAAGAATGTTATACAACTTGGCCTCGTATAGTAACTGTGGATGCTTGGACCGAGTGCTCTCCTGCACGCATGATTAGCAAAATCAAGCATACACGCAAGCAAGAAACTGAATCATATATAGGCAAATCCACCAGAGTAAATTAGAGGAAGACAATCCCAACTGAAATTTCCAAGAGACAATGCCTTGAACATCCGTTCGAAAACAGAATCAAGTTTGAAACAAACTACTGGTTAATAACCATAAATTGCAGCTGCACAATCAAAACTCTAATCAGGACTTCAGGCCATTGTCAATAAACTCAAGCAGATTCTAACCAAATGGTGTTACATAAATACATCGATCAGTAGAAAGCTCAACCAGTTGACTCCATGCCAAAAGAGAAAACGAAAATTCTCCTAAATCTCCCCCTAGAAATAAATCGTCAAGCAAGGATCTGAAAAGAAAGATCGAATACAGCAAAACAAGGATCGGTCAACTTACGATCTTAACCGCGACGATCTCAAACGTGTCGACGTGTGTCGCTGTAACAGACGAAATCAGCACAAAGAGATCAGCACCGAATAAGTAAACAGACAGAAACAATAAAAAAAAGTCAACGAAAAGCCGAATTGAAGGAAAGCAGGAGCGGAGGATCAACGTATTCACCGAGAAAGATCTCGCCGAAGGATCCACTCCCGATCTTGCGCCCTAGCTTGTACTTCCCGCCGACGATCCGATCCATGCCTCGATCGCTTCCACTCCTCCCTCAGAGGAGCATCAAGAACTAGGGTATCGATCGGAGGCGAAGGATTCACGAGGGCGAGATCTCTGCGTATGAAAAGTCTCAGAAGACGACGGAGACGAGCTGAGGGGCATTTCCGATGATTTATAGGCCTGGCTCGCCAGCGAGGAGCGGCTGCTCGCCGTTGGGGATGGCGGCCGGGTCGGTTCTTTATCAGGATCCGTTAACCTGTTTAACCGGATCCATTTTTCTTTAATCGGGTTCGAGATTAATCCATATTAAAAAAGAATATATCCCGATTTAAATATGGATCCAAAATTCATGCATTAAATAATAGTGAGGTTTCGATAAGGTGAAATTTGAGAGCACTTTCTTCATCATTAAATCATAATAATAATGAATATGATCGATCTGTTCCGTTGAGAAAGTGAATCACATTCAAATTCAAGTAAAATTAATGACATCATTTTAAAGATTTTAATTTGATGATCATACATATTAAAAATTTAGGCTTAGATGAAAATTAGATCTTCAAATTTAAGCTTAGATCTTCAAATTAGATCTTGGAATATTAAAGCGAAAAGTCTTGAATTCCAATCTTCATTAGCCCTGAATCATTGACAGAACCCTAAAAGCCCAAGTGAAATGATCTATCTTAACATGAGTAATTGATGTAATTTATCCTAAAAATATTTTTAACTTAACTAAAAATAAGACTCAATAGCAATAAAATATTGATAATGGTGTTTATTAAAAATTAATATAAAAACCCTAAACCTCACGAATACCTCAGAATTCAAATATTAAGGATTTAGGGGCTCATATGAAGACTACATCCCATCTCCATACCTCAAACACTAAATATTAAGGAATATGGGTTTTAAATGAGAATAACATCACATTTATGTTATTTTATTTTTGGGAAAAGAGAGTAAGCCTAAAAAATTTTATGAGGCATGAAATCCATACTTCACATTTGAAATATTGGTACAAAAAGTGCATCCCATCTCCACACCTCACACTTTAATATTAAGGAATCCATGGGCTTATATGGAAACAAAATCCCATTTACCTCACATTTCAAAATACTAAAGATAGAGGGGTTTATATAAAAAGTACATCCCGTCTCTACAACTTACGATTCAAATATTAAAGAATCTTAGGGGCTTTATAGAAAATGACATCTCTCTCTCTCTCTCTCTCTCTCTCTCTCTCTCTCTCTCTCTCTCTCTCTTGCTGAATGGTCTTCCGCTATCCCCTCCAAATTAAGCTTTCGAAAACCCATGAGATCTCCCACTCATCCGTGGGCGGCCGTCACCCGATTGTTCTCTACCTCTACCTCCCAAAATGCCTCCTCTAAGAGGCCCCCGACAGTCCGATCCCTCGCCTCTGCCGGTCGCATCAAGGACGCGATCCGGTACCTCATCCTCCGCCGCCATCTCGGCCGCCCGGTCTATCCGGAATGCTTCGTTGCCGTCATCAAACACAGCGCGGCGCCGGAGACCCTGGGCGTCGCGCGGCAGCTCCACGCTCACATGATCATCACGTGCTTCGATCAGGATCCCTTCCTCTGCAACCATGTCATCGACGTGTATGGCAAGCGTGGCCTCCTGGGCGACGCGCATTGGGTTTTCAGAAGGCTGGGGAGCAAAAAGTTGCATTCTTGGAACATACTGATTGCTGGGTACTGCAAGTTTGGATTTTTAAGCGAGGGGAGACTTCTGTTTGATGAAATGCCTAGGCGGGATGCAGTTTCTTGGAATACGTTAATAGCGGCCTATGATCAATGGGGACCGTGTGAGGAGGCGATAGAGGTTTTTGCTCATATGATGCGTTCCTGTTGTATAGTGGATCATTTCGGTGTCTCAAGTGTGATTAGTGCTTGTGCCAATCTTAGATTCGTGCAGAATGGGAGCGTACTTCACGGGCTTTCTGTAAAGATTGGACTTGACTCGCATGTGCAGGTGGGTAGCGCTATCATTGGATTATATTCGAAATGTGAACAATTGGATGATGCTAGAAGGATTTTTGATCAAATGAATGTCAAAGAAATATTTACTTGGAATTCCATGCTTCATGGTTTTATTCGGTGCTCAAAGATTGGTGATGCTGTTAAATTCTTTGAGAACATGCCACATAAGGATGTGGTCTCATGGACAACGATTATGGCTGGTTGCTCTCAACATGACAGGAATGAAAATGCAATTTACTTCTTTCAGAAAATGCAGCAAGATGGGTTGAGGCTAGATTGGGTGTCTTTTCTTAGTGTTTTAGATGCATGTGAGGGGTTGCTGGATCTTGAAGAAGGCTCCAAGATTCATGCAAAGATGGTTAAAAGTGGTTTCGGAGCTGACAGGATTGTTGGAAGTGCATTGGTCTCATTATATGCAAAATGTGGGTGTTTAACTGATGCGAGAAGCGTAACCCACAGTTTGGCTGCTGTCGATGACTTCTCATGGAGTGTTTTGATAGCTGAATATGTGAAGCATGGATGCTTGGATCGTGCTTGTGAATTGTTTGATAGCATGGCTATCAAGACTGTCCCACTATGGAATGCTTTAATTGGAGGTTGTGCTGCAGTTGGATTAAGTGAAGAGGCTTCTGAATCCTTTAAAAGAATGCAGATGGATGGAAAATATGGTGATAGCTACACCTTTGGGAGCCTCCTCCTCAGTGCTATTCATTTGGGAAGGCGATTTGGTTCACAACTCCATTCACACATAATAAAATTGGGGTTTGACTCTTCTGTTTTTTTAGCTAGTGCTCTCATTAACATGTACAGCACCAATTCAAATTGTGAAGCAGCTGTCAGAATATTCAAATTGGTCAAGGATCCAAACCCCATTGTATGGAATTCCATGATCTCTGGGTATGCATTAAATAATCTGGCTAAGGATGCCATGCTTACATTTTCTCTCATGGTAGCTTTAGGTATGAAACCAGATAATGTCTCATTGTCACTTATTATTGATTTATGCTCAAGATTATTGACCCTGCGTGGTGGAACACAGGTTCATGCCTTTGCATATAAGTTGTGTTTTGAATCGGATGTCGTGGTTGGAAGTGCTCTCATAGACATGTATGCAAAATGTGGAAGCATTGATTGTGCATCATCTGCATTTGCTGATATATATAGGCACACTGTTGTTAGCTGGACTGCATTGGTAGGTGGTTATATGAGATTGGGATTGTGTGATACAGCAAACAAGCTTTTCAATATCATGCCTGAGCGCAACATTGTTTCTTGGAATGTAATGATTTCTGGATACACAAAACATGGCTTCGCATCAGAAGCATTGCAAATATACTCTCAAATGGGTAAATCAGGTCTACTGCCAGATCTGATAAGTTTTACCACTATTTTAACAGCTTGCAGAAACTTTTTTCTAAAAGAAAGTGGAAAGCAAGTTCATGCACAAATAATAAAGAACGGCTATCATGTGAATCCACAAATTAATTTTTATCTGACTTGTATGTACCAGAAATTTGGTGAGCTTTGGCATACCAAAGAACTTCCTTCTGGCTCTTCTGATTTGGTGGTTGTGGCTGCTGCAGATAGAGCAGAACCAGATGTTGTTACAGAGAACATTGAACTTTTAGCATCTGTCTACTTCAGCCACTTTGGCAGGACAAATTTTCAACACGGAGCTGATTAATTAGTCCGGTTCTTTATCAATTGTTCATCTCCTTAGGTGTTATGCCATGCATTTTGAACTGCTGGTTGTCCATAACATTCTATTTGAGAATCATGTGTTAAGAGCCAAGCCAGTCGAGCAATAAAGCAAGCAAAAACAGAGACAGAGGGAAGAATGAGGCAGGGATGGCTCAGCAGATGATGGCATTTTGAGATTAATGCCCAGTGCCATAATCAAAGCTGATGATCGTAAGCTATGTCCTCCATACCAATCAAAGATCCACGGACTACAGATGCTCTCTCTTGATGGCCTTTCGCCTCTTCAAGTGTCCTTTGTTCTCAACGCCCACAACCATCCGATGCATGGTTTTCAATAAGCGTCCATGCATTTTGAAATGAATTTTGCTGATCGTCCATAACATCCTATTTGAAAGTCATGTGTTCACTTGGTCAAAGGTGAACGATATTGAGATATCTCAATTTATTTCTTGTGATATCTGAAGTTAAATGTCAATTGTGAACGACTACGAACGGAAAAATTTACTGCCTATGAGCTATTGTTGTATGAGGATTTTCTCCTGTTCCCAAGTTAATGGTTTTGGAACAAATGGTACATAAAGCATTACAACTGGTGCAATTTGAAAATGACTTCTGAAATGCTGATGCAATATGTGTATCAGACTAAGTTGCAGCATGGTCTCAATAGGTGCACATGAAAATCATTTCTATTTAGATTGTTAATTTTTCTTTGTAGTGATTTCAACTACTTAATGATAATAATCTATACCCAAAATACACTTATATTTTGAATGTTGATAATTTTTATTTGGTAAAGCCTGAGTTTTTATGTTGGAGTTCATGCTTTTGCCTTTTGATCACCTTAATGAGGTCAAAAGATCTTGTTAGCATCAAAGTTGGCAGTATACAATATATTCTTTTCTCTTATAGTCAAGTTAGGTACTTAGATCTTCGTGTAGATTGCAAAATATTCGTGCTTTATATACTTATTTGTGCACCAAATTTTCTTTTTTTAAATGAGATCGTTGCATTCAATGTTAATTCAGGATTGCAATTGTATAATGTTATACAATGGGAGAACTTTTTTAATATTTTTATGGAACTTTGGTTCATAAGTTGCAGGATCTAAACTTCAGTGGTATGGTTTTTGCCATATCTATGCTGGCATGACATGCATTGAGTTTCATGCAGTCTTGCATGGATCATGCCTTGATGGCATGAAGAGGGAAAGGAGAGTTTACTAGGAAGAGACTAGAGGGAGGGGAGAGGGACTAGCATGCATGAGTAATATAAGAAGGAAGCTGTTCTGCCAACAATCATCAAATTAACCATATAGTTACACTGTTCCTGAGGTTTTAAGTTATAGAATTCCTTCAAAAGAAACGAAAAAGCTATCTAAGAGTCAAATGATTTGTTTAAATATTAGTGCAATGGGATCTCAGATGGTACATAAGGTGTCACATTCGTTTGTCTTCTTAAC